CACACACACACACACACACAGAGTAAAAAATCTGAATTAGCAAGCCTTCGTTGAAATATAGAATATTTTCCCACATGCAAATAGTACTTCTTGTAAATCTTTTACTACAGAGTAACCCAAAAAGATTACAAGTAGATATGTTTATTTATTTAGCCTCTAAAGAAAGAGTCAGGTTAGAAACTTTAAAAATAATTCATCCCACGAAAAAACAGCGTTTTCACGAGACCAAAAGAGAACATAAAGTTTAAGGCGTAAGATAACCTAAAAACCTACTTTTCAAACAGCAATTCTCAGTTTTCTCATTGATAGTAATTTATGGGTGAGACAACTTTGTGATTTTACAAAATTCATGGGGGGGGCAGGTGAACATTAATGAGGTACAAATAACTGAGTATGGAAAAACAATCTCTTTTTTTTACATACTAGCGTATGGTATGTAAGTTACATTTTTTTAGTCTTGGGAAATCTTATCTGGCTGTTATCATTTTGCGGCACGTTCATGGATAACAAATTTCCACACAGGTTTTACATTCCTCCTTATTTATAGAGCCTATTACCAACTTCCCCTTTTGTTCAATTTTGCGTTTTGGCCAGTAGATGGCACTACGACGTTGAGTGCTGGTAGCCTTTTTTCCTCCTCCTTCCCCTAAGCTGTTTTCTGATATATGTTGGGTACCATAGAGTGAATCTGAGAACAGGAAGCAGAAGCAGAAGCAGAGAGGATTCTGGAAAGGTCTCTTTGTTGTCTAGTCCAGAGAGGAAGACAAAAAATTGTAATTCATTTGTGAACCTCTGTGGCCAATAGTCTGAACAACTGCTGTGGAAGGGACGTTGTCCTCTAACCATCTTGGATGCTGGGCTTTGTTACTGTGATGCTGTGATTCGGAAGGCTCTCTTATCAGGTAAGCTGGGGAGGGAAACATGTAATCATCTGCCATAGTTGGTAGCGAACGAGTCATTTTCTTATTTTAAAAATCATCTTCAAGCTGTTATTTTTAACCTGATTCTGTTTTAATGTAAATTACAAGAACCAAAGGCATCGGTTTAGCTGTAAACTGCTGACGATGCCTTTATCTTTCAAAGGCAATCGAGCCTCTGGCTGGACATGGTGACTTATGGTACAGACCTAAATGATATTATGTTTTGGAAGCACATCCTTGTTTATGATTCATTGTATTCAAAGAAATTGTTTTCTGTGACACTTACAGCTAACCTAGTATATTTCATGGCTGTCCATCGTCGGTCTAAATGTCCAGTATGTCCAGTGCTTTTCAACAGCAGTGTATCATTGGAGCTGTATTTTCTGTGCCCTAGTCTTTTATCTAGCAGGCTCCAATAGGCCATGCTTTTGGGAGGTGGTAGCAATATACAGTTGTTTGGCTGCTTGACATATAGGATTGTTCTCCTCAAAGATAACCTATGCTTATCAAGGTAAAAAATTACCACTACTAAGCATTAAATAGAGATTTAACTTTCTAATAAAAATTATCCTTATATAGTCCATAATGTATATTTAATCCTTAAATATATTGATTTTATTAAATATTTACCTTTTAATTCATTTATTTAAAGGGATTATACATTCTTGGTGCATTTTCTCATATGCTTGGCATGTGTGTTTATTCTTTCCGAGGTAAATTTAAGAACTGCCGATTATTATTATTAATAATTTCCAGGAGTAACCATTTGAGACTCAGAACTATCATTCACTTTACCCATGACCTATATTTTCTGTGGTTTTCTGTAAAATATTTCAGAGCATAACCCTAAATGTACTATTTACTGAGCAATCACATATTTAGAGTAAGAAATTAACAGACAATCTAGAGGTGTTATATAAAAAGAAGAGTTGTAAAAACCATAAAGCCATCAAGTTTGTGGGGTTTTTTTGTACAACAGGTGGTGCAATGTGACAAAAATACAGTCAAAAGTGTTGGTAGGAATTTGATTGGAAACATTTCATCACAATCACTCCTAATGATGTGGGCTCCTGTGAAAGGCAGGCCCCGGGTTTCAAAGTGGGTTTCCAAAGAAGCTTCACAAACAGAACTTGAGGCCCCCGCCTTTAAAACAGCTGTCACGTCTAATTATAGACTAAGGCAAAATTCTGAGATCTCACTTGATATCCTCCAGGGAGTAGAAATCATATTCCCCCTAAAGATGTTTCAAAAGTGTGGTTGCCTCAAAGTAAGCCCTGGCTCTTGTACAGATAAGAAACTCTTCTGCCCTATGATCACCAGAAAACTGCTTGTATGAAAAGGGTTTGCCAGAAATGGATGCGACCTGACTTGCATGTATTGTATACACCAGGCCTCTGTGCAGGTGACTGGATGTGAGTAACTGCTCCGTGTAAACACCAGAGCTGGTCTGGATTGGACTGGTCTGTGCTTCTGAAGGGATGCGTGTATTTTGGCTGGGCTGCTAGCTATTGTTTGGGAGGAACCACTGCGATGTTCTCCCAAAGTGCCACAAACCCCGAGTTTCTCTCCACATACCCCAGACAAGATGAGAAGCCAGGCATGGAGTCATTATTCCCTTAACTGGATGTGCTCTTTGTAGATTTGGGGAATCAAAGTCTTCTTGAGCAAACGGCACATCAAACAAACGTGGGCATCATGTTCCTTAGAAAACTCGAATGGTGACTGCATTTGTCAGGCCAAGAGCAATGTCATTAATTCATTGATGTTGAGAAAAATAAGTTGAGCTTTGAACTAGAAATCTTGAGTTTGGGTTCAAGTTTGTGGACTAACTGGTTTTGTGACTTCAGAGAAGGCAACAGGCATAACTGAAGTGCATTTTTTCTTATCAATAAAAACATGGAATTATAATTAAAGATCTCTAAGGATCCTTGGTGCTATAGTGGTTATGTGCTGAGGTGCTAACTGCAAGGTCAGCAGTTCAAAGCCACCAGCTGCTCCATGGGAGAAAGAAGCAGCCTTTTGCTCCTGTAAAGAGTCGCGGTCTTGGAAATCCACAGTTGCTCTACCCTGTTCTATAGAGTCGCTAGGAGTCAGAATCCACTCAATGGCAGTGAGTTTGTTCTTTTGTTTGGGGGGTTTGGGGGCAAAAGGGGGTAATAAGGGGGGTGCCAAACCCCCAAGTCAGCAGTTCAAACCCATCAGCTGCTCCAAGGAAGAAAGACAGAACTCTCTGTTCTGTACAGATTTCCAGCCTAGGAAAACTAAAGGAGCAGTTCTCTGCTGTCCTACAGGGTCTAGATGAGTTGGGATTGACTCCATGACACTGAGAGTAAAGATCCTTTTCATTTTTAAAATTCTAATATTCTAATGTGTCTGGACTTTCACTGATTGATTTCACAACATACACATAATCGGATACATCCGGAACTGATTCTTACTGAGTTGGGTAATGCAGTTACTGCGAGGCTGAAAATAGAAGTACAGAAATAGAGGAGGTGTTTTAAAAGCCTGGCCAGGTTCTTCTGTGGTGGACATGAGTGAGGAGCAGTCTGGAGAAGTGGTCCAGGACAAGGGCCTGCAGAATTCCAGCTTCACTATTCAGTTGAAAAATGATGGACTCTTCTTGAGCCTCTGCTTCACCACCTATAAAAAAAATTATAATGCCAATGCTATATATAGGTTTGCTCAAATTAAAGTATATCCGGTCAATGGACCATAGTTAATGACCCCATTCCCTGACCCCACCAACAGTACCTGGTATCATTATTGTTATTAGTAACGGTGATAGAATCTTTTACTACAGCAGGCAGAGTGGAAAAATGTGGCCAAGACACTCTATGGTTGAATTCTCAGCCTGGAACAGCGCTCTCGCTAAACAACATCAAAAAATGAATTCTCTGTAAATAGTATCAATCAGTGTTAGCATACTCAGAAATTCCTGGAGTGTATAGCATTCTCATAATAACTTCTGGAAGATGTTTCTCTCAGTCCAATCATATATCACTATGGACTTTAAAGTCATTCTTCTTTTGAACAGAACAGGGACTTTATTTTCCTTGTACCTTCACACTCCCACAAGCCCCCAACCCACTGCCCTTGAGCCGATCTCCACCATGAAGACCCTGTTGGACAGAGAAGAACTGTCTCTCTGGGTTCCTGGGATTTTTTCATCTTCACAGGAGGAGACAGACCCGTGGTCTCAAACCTCTGACCTTGTGTTTGTAGCAGGGGCCCCTCTATAGCATACTTAAACGGACTCCTTAGACCCAAGGTCTTTGTGGAGTTTCACAAAAGTCACCTAGGATCCACCAAGAAATCCACTTAAAGGTCAACCAATTTCTACCGTGATCACCAAATAAAAGGTTCTATATTCCTGAAGTGCCTGCACATGTTGGCGCTGCCACTCTCCCTGCAAACTCTCTATTGCTTCATGCCAATTAAGGGTGCAAGGAGAGGTGGGAAGGTGAACTGTGCCTGAGGAAATTGTTGACGTGTTGCCAAATCTCTCCTTCCTTCCTCCGAAGGCCTTCTCTGAGTGCCGCTCCAGGCTCCTGACAGCTGTGTGCCACTGGAGCACTGGGGGCTGGAAGTGGGGTGACCTTTGGGCCCTCCAGGCCTTCAACCCCTCTCTTCATCCACCCCGGGCCTCTTTGAACTGACTCAAGAAACTGCACTGTCAGTTCCATCTTCGGCGGCAGCCGGATGACTTGATGGACTCACGATCGGACAGATCTGAAATGCTAAGAGCTGGCAAGGCTCAAACCTACGAGGGGAAGCCATCGCAGCTCAGCTGCCCGAGGGTGGCTGGGAGTTCATCCTCACCGGCTCTAGGTTAGCCCCAGCTCTTCGAATATCTAATTGTTAACAGACCCGAACTGAATGTGTTCGCAGGGCTAAGTACAGAAAAAAGATAATTTGTGGTTTTTTTTAATTTGTTTGTTTTTTAACCAAAGACTGAATATGTAACTAGCTAGTGGTCTGGTTTGTGTGTATGTGTTTTGTTTTTTTTTTGGCAAGAGTGGCTCAACTGATTACTTTTTCTCATTATCATTCATGTATAGCAATATTGTGAACTCACTGAAGGTTGGGAATTAATGTTTCATTTGTCGTCTAAAAATAGATTATTATTCCCTTCTTAGTATTGGTGATTGTTTTACCAGTTTTCTAACACTCTGAGGATTAATTATCCACCCAGCCCCACAATATGTAATATTAATATTCTATTTCTGTATTTTTTCAGACCTTTATAACTTTTCATTTGCCTACATTTTCATTGTTTTTGGGGCCTACACTTGAAGTTTACTGCATAAACAACTCTAATGGCAACTCAGAATAGAATCTGGCATTTGAACAATGATTTCTTTGTGGTTGTTATAAAATTTTAGAAGAAAACAAATGTCAACCATACCAACTGCTCATGAAATTTCCTAATTAAGGTTCTATAAAAGTCCGTACATTTATGTTTGATTGAAATCAAGACCAAATGCCCTGCCATCAAGTTGACTCCAACTCCTTGCGACCTTGGATAGGGTTTCCAAGGCTATCAAGATCTATGAAAACTGACAGCCTCATCTGTCTCTATCTGGGCAGCTGATGAATTTGAACCACTGACCTCGTGGTTTCCACCAGCCCAGTGCCTAAGTGACAACACCGCCAGAGCTTCTTATATTTAATTAGGAAGCTCCATTTGTAGTTGAGCCTCGTCTTAAAATACATATATATTTTTTAACTCAGAACAAAACTAGCTCATTCATTGGTTTCATTACAACGAGATGTAACAAATATGGGTACCGATGACAGTGCAAAATAATACAGATTTTGTTCATTTGATGATACCACAATAATTAAAATCCTGTCCCTCGATAAGCAAAGGCATGCCTTTTTTCTACCAACTCCTTGGCAAGAACCAGCTCTTTGAGAGTGTCTGAACTTTGAATCTATAACTGGAAGGATAATTAAATGCAGGAGAGTAATTCCTTAAA